TTCAGGATGCGATCCCATAACCCACATAGACACTCTAACTCTTATCTTCTACATGCTCTTGCCAAAAGAGCATCTCAGAATGGGGCCCAGCCCAAACTGAGCAGGGAAACACTCCCCAGTATCCACAAGCCCAGGTGCAACTGGGAATAGCCTACAGGGAGATGCAGAGGACAGTGCAGATGCTGAACACCATTTCACAGGGACTTACCTTCCCTTTCCTCTGCAGCACCAGTCCCCCCATGAAGGAGAAGCACCCACACCCTTCCCATCCCAGAACTGAGTAGTTCTTCTAAAATACAAGAATGAGGGACAGCACTGAATGAGCTGCTGCAAAACCAGGTTGAGCTCAGACCTAGGCTGCCTACAGGATTGACATCTGCTGGGGCATTGGCAGAGGAGCACCTGGTTTTGAATGCGATCAAGGTGAGGTGAGAATGAGGTAACAAGTAGCTCAACTCCATCGCACTGAGGTCAGCTCTCAGCACATCCAGCTGTGCCACTCAAAAGGTACATAGGAATTTTAAAGTAAAATCTACGTATATATATTTTAAAAATGAGGCACCTACAGAGCTTAAGCATTGCCAGAGTTTGGGGGCAGCTAATTACAATCCTGACAAGATGGAGGTTTCCAGGACGAATTCTTCCTAAATCGCTATATTAAATCCTGTGCTTACTTTTGACTCCTTTTCTAGAAGGTCTCTGAAAAATGGGCAATCTGAAAGACTCCCATCAATTACTCCGCACCGGATGCAAGACTTGCTAAGAAAAATTAAATTATTTTAATTCAGTTTAGTTAAGTGGCAATTGCTATATTACATAAATCTGTAATGCTCTTTAGGCGCTGCTTTGTATAGCACTGGCCTGGGACTCTTCTGAATTTAATGATAATGAATTTTTATATCTTAAAGTGCTGAGTGTGTAGGGAGCAATAGCAACCCCTGGCCCCAGAGGTTTGGACCAGCATCACTACCGTAGGTGCAATGCTTTTGAAAAGAAACTTGGCACTGGAAAGTTTCCCCACCACCGGCTATAACGGACTGAATTTGTCCTTTGTATGCAGGAGGATGGTTTCACCAAACACCGAGACCATCCATCCTCAGCAGGGCTGAGGGCAATCCCTCAGGTCTCCTTCCCTGAAATGGTGTTTGATGAAGGTGCATTCGACGGGACAGATCAGCCCCCACACAACCCGACTGAGCAAAACATGTCCACGTCCACCACCCAGTGAAGCCTCGGGCTCCCAAACGCAGCCCTGTGCTGGATGGGAGCTCACGTATGTGATTAAATCCTGCTGGCTTCAGCACGTGCGGCTGGGCTTTGCCGTGGGGCCAGCACAGTGGCACGGACATTAATGGGGCGGACATGCAAGTGTCGGGGACAGCACCCCCAAACCCTCGTGGGGAGGCCACCTCTACCTCCGCAGCGTTGAATGAGCACAACCGTGTCCATCGCTTGGTAAAATATAGTTTTTATTTGTTCATACAAACAGTATGAATTATCAGAATTTCATTTTCCTAGAAACATCTTTGTGTAAAATTAATTTGTGTTGTACATACCACAAAATACTCAATTTACATTTTTTTCAGGTTTTCTTTTTTGTGGGGTTTTTTTGTTTTTCTTTACATTTTGTTCTTTTTTTTACAAATTGGCTACTCTACAGTACCATGTTACAGACAACACATCACTAATACCTGTACTGCACTTCTGAACACAGGACTGAATGAAACTCAGCCATAAATTAATGTTACAATGTGAAAAAAAAACAACAAACAGAACTTCTAATCACACCTCCAAGCTTAACTTAAAAAAAAGGTATTTGTTTAAAATGATGACAATAATACTGATTCCAGCATTAGCAACCAGATGTACACCACGGGGAATTCACCTTCATAGTCTTATCTGTTAGGTAAGGCCTTTACATTAAAAGTCTAGTGCAGACTTCGTTACAAAGGATATTGAGCCAGGGCTAACAATTTGCTTAAGGTTAGAAGAGTTATTATTCACTCTCTGTATTTCTACTCCTCAACAAGATTGCTTCATGAGAGCATTTTGCAGCAGGGCTTGATTATACAAATTAAGCCCACACTCTGCTGTATAGCTGAGGAAGGCATTGGGATATTAAAAAGTTGTTTCCAAGAAAGCAAGAAGGAAGACGTAGGGGATGCGAAATCTTCCAGCATTCACAAGCATGCACACGCGCTCGGAAGGGAACCACACGGAAAGGAAGCCACGCCAACGCGGTAGATGCCGGAGGCTCTCGCCACGCAGCGGAAGGGCTCAGCCAGCGAAACCGCCTGGGGAAGCGGCGCAGTCGCGGCTGGGAGCTTGCCCAAAGGCCAAGTGGAGAGGACGAGCTTCTTCCCATACATTGCATAAGCTGGCTAGTAGGAAGACCGAGGTTTCGAGAACCCAAAATCACTCTTTTCCACCAGGAAGTATTTTCTTCTCCCCCCCACCCCTCACCCCCTGCAGCCCCTTCCCCTCAGTTACCCAACAGCAGCAGGGTTTGTGATAAAGCAGACACGCTCGTGCATTCATCACCTGTCCTGGCAGCGGGGAACAGAGCTGGGGACCTGGCTGGAGCTAAAACCGAAGACCCCAAACATGCATAGATCCAACCACCACTCGAGTTTGCAGCTGCCTTTTGCAGGATGGGGGTTGTGTGTCTGGTCTGTCAGCCTGTGCAGCCCAGCAGGCCCCACACGCACATCTGTGACCTCTGGAAGTGGGACTGTGTCAGTCCGAAGCATCACTTCGTTGCTAGAAATGGCTCAGGGCAAAAAGGAGAGGATTTGCCCAACTGTCCCTTTTTGTAGGAAGATGTGCTTGCAGGCAAACCCCAAGGAGGGATTTGCATCCTGCTCACAGCAGGTTTGCTAGGCAGCTCAGTCCTGACGTTATGCCTAGCATCTCCCTTTCCTTGAGGACACCCCAGTGCACTGCACCCCATGTATGAACCCACACACGCCTCACCGGCACTGATGGGGGTGTGAGTCCTTAAATCCCTTCAGAGATGTGACACCGCTGAGCCAAGCCAAGAGCCCTTAGGTTCAAACAAAGCACTGAAGGGCAGTGCTTTACCTGCAGATCCCTGCAGTGGACCCAGACGTAGGTCTGCTCTTCGCTGTATCCACCTGAGCAGAACCAGATCAAGAGCCAGGGAGAGCAGACCAGGCTCAGAAGGGCCTTTTCATCACCAAACAGCCACAGCAGAGAACTGTAAGGGGCAGGCAAGAGCAAGGAGGCTGCGAAAGTAAAAGAAACATCTGGGAAATGCCACTGAAAACACCCCACCACAGCTGGGCACAGGTCAGCAATGTGGTGCTCAAAGGTGGTTTGCTATGGGTGACCAGGGAGACGTGCAGGGCATGCATTTATATAGGCAACGCATATGAAACTAGAGCATTAACCCAACTCACATATGCTCTGCCCAATAGTGCATTTGCTGTTTCAAGTTTTACTTACACTGCCTGCTTTATGCAAATGTTCACATGGTAACATCATGAGATTTATCCAGCAAGCTCCACACGTGGTGCGGACACCATTTCAGTGCTTGCAGGTGATGTGCATGTGTTTTTTGTTGCCCAAAGACAACATGGCCCTGCTTCTGTTAAAAATTCAAGGAGCAAATCACTTCTGCTGTCACCTTGCTCCGAAAATGTTCCAGTTGAGCTAGCAGAACTTCTGACAGCAACGATAAGGCGTCTGACACACAGGGTATTTATCAAAACCTCCTGAGCACACAGAACATGCCTAGAGCTCCCAGGAGAGCCCCGCCAACCTGTCCTAATGCCCCAAAGCATTTGGTTCCACCTGAGGTGAAGGATCTCCAGGCTATTGTACCCGGGTTGGTGGATAAGAGCTCGGAGCCTCCTGTCCTGCTTGGGTGCCACCCCTGTGCTCGCCCGGGGCATCGGGGAGGCACCTGGCTGCGCCTGGGCTGCCAGCAATGCCCCAACCCAAGTACAGCCCCCTGCTTTTCTACAGATTCATCCTCGTTGGCAAAGCAGCACTTCTTCCAGGCTCTAGGCAAATGCTGCTCCTTGGGAGAGACCATGGATAAGGTGTTGGACCAAAAAGTACTGGGAGTCAAGAGGGCCAAGGCTGATGTTCCCCAGTCTCACGCACCAGGGGCTGCTCCGGTGGCTGCAGGGCTGGAGGTAGCGCTGCCTGTGCCGTGTCCTGGGACACCCTCCATGATGGGAATGGTGCCAAGCAGAGACCTGGGGTTTTCACGTGGCTCCACGGCTCTGCTGGCGTCTTTGGTGGCTGGACGCTGCTCCCCGCACTGCCAGCGCAGCCATCTCCCAGCAGCACCCTGTGTGCACGGGCACTCTTGCAGCAATGCTTCTTGCAAGTCGTTCAGGCCAGCACCGAGCATGTCACATACAGATACATGTATTTTTACATTTGTCCTGCAGTAAAGATTTAAAATGCATAGAGAGATCGTGGGAAAGAGCCTCCTTGACAAAAGGCAAGAAGGAAAAGTATACTGAGGAGAGAGCTCTGCCCATGCCACAGGCTCTGCGGCTTCTCTGCTAGTAAACAAGCACGTTGCCCTCCCGGCAGAGTCCTGGGCTGCAGAGCAGGAGCTGTATGGCTTGGGGTTCCCTACTCTTTACACGCTGCTGCTCAGCAGGGTTGCAGGGAGATGCCCAGCCTCCCTCCCCACCCGCCCCAGAGAAACCCCCCCGGGGCCGTGGGACTAACCGGAAAGCTGTGGGACAAGGGAGCACAACACCGGAGCAGAGACTGGGACACCGGAATAGGGAAAGCAAGTTTTTATAAAGGTCAGATACCCGTAACAAAAATAAATTTGTGCTTTCCCTCCCTCCCCGCCCCTTCCCTGCCACCCTCGCTTTTTTTGATTTTTTTAAATACAAATTTTGTTTAGGAAAAATGGAAGCACCGTTTGTTACAAACCAAACCAAGAGGAGAAAATAGAAGGAGAAAAAAAAAAGAAAAGGAGAGACATATTAGAATTAAACACCGTGGAATGTTAAACAGGTTACGGGCTACCGTTCTAGCCAGTGCGGTTAGGCAGCTTAGTGTATTAATTGCTTAGGAATTAAAAATAAATTATTATAAAATAGATTTCTGTACATTTTACATACATATATATCTCTTTATATACGCAAACCGTGCTGGGCAAGTAATTACAGGGGACTTTCCCATGGCAGCCTCAGTCCCAGCCAAAGTCCTGCCCCGTCATCTGGTAGAACTTCATGTTGAAGGGCCGGTAGAAGTCCCGCAGTCTCTGCACCACCTCCTGGTCTATGTCGGGGTGGGTCCTGCCTTTCGTCTTCCCCAGGCAGTGGGGTTTGCTGCTGCCTTCCGCCTTCTTCAGGCACGGGAACCCCTTGGTTTTGTTGAAGTAGAAGTGTTTGTCGGTGATGATCCTCTTGAGGCCCAGAAAGTCCTGGACCCTGCCCAGCTCCCCCGCGGGGTCGCTGATCAGCCTCTCCCCGCTGACGAAGAGGATCTGCCCGATGGGGAAGTAGAGGAGCCAGTTCTCCAGGTGCTTGGCGTAGATGCCAATCTGGATGGCGCTCCACGAGGTGTCGATCAGGCCCGTAGTCCTGTTTTTGAAGGTCAGGCTCTCAAAGGTGGGGATATCAGGCTTCTTGGAGAGCGTCTGGGTGTAGTCCGAGATGGCTCTGGTCACGGGGTCCCGCACCACCACGATGAGCTTGGTGCCCTTGGACATGGAGGAGATGCGGGCTGGGGCCTCCTTGGTGACGAAGTAGCTGGGGGTCTTCTCCATGGTGATCTGCCCCTCCAGGGTCCTGGGCATAAGGTCCCTGCCGGCAAAACACACAGACATGGGTCAGAATGGCAGGTAACAGGAACAAAAATATGCATATGCATATATATTTCCACACATAGATACACAAGAATTTTCCTTCCTAAAATGCCTACACAGGCCATTTAGCTTGTACAGATAAATCCATTTTCCATTGATTTAGGGATTAGGGGGGGATTATTATTAAAGGCCACTGTATTAGAAATCCAGCTGAGTAATCTTCCAGTTATCCAAGAGTGGATTAGCTGGGCTGTGCTTTGCACCTGGAGTGTGGCTACATGTACCACACCGGCTCCAGACCGGTCAGGATGAGTCCTGAGCTGCACCAGGTGGCTTTCCTGGCTCAGGTCAACACCAGAGAGCCCTCAGCCCCAGCCAAGAGCTCGTTTTCCCCAGGGGAACGAGAGGAACAGCGTAGTGGAAAAGCAGGAGCTCACCAGAGCACGTCCACCTTGCTTTCCCTTAGCATCCCAAACACAACACCCTTCCCAATTCAGGCAAGAGGGTACAATTTGTCCCTGGCTTGTCAACAGGAGGACCTCACCCAACCGCAGGGGTCCTCTTGCACCCAGCTTCACCCGTTGCTTTACTATTTCCTATGGCTGTGCAGACTTGTTCCCTGACACGCACTAGAAGGAGCATCAAGAGCTGCTGGTGGCATCTTCAGCACATCCCAGTCCAGCACCCAGTGGGGACAACCTCTCCCCTCCACTGCCACAGGGGCTACAGCAGGTCAGGATACAGGATACGACCACGGAGAATGCAACCTCAGCTCGTGGGTAGGACGTGCCGTCACAAAACACCCTTGAAATCTAATCCTTCAGCAATTCCACCTTATTCCCTGGCTATTTCTAATTAACCATGTGGGGAAAAACTAGAGAGCTTGCAGAAATGATGGAAGCAGCACGAAGCAGGAAGAGTAATTTTTTCCTGTCATTCACTAGGCAAGCCTAAATATTTCAGACCATTTGCCAATTCTTTCCCTTTATAACCCAAAGGGACTCATTTGCTCTGGGTTGCGAGACAGTTAAAAAAAAAGGCAAGAGGGGAGTCTGCCACAAAATTAAAGCTATAAAACTTGATTAAGTTTTCAAAGCATCCACCCAGCACAGAGAAATAACCAGCCAGTGTGTGATCTGCAAGCCTCAAACAGCATTTCCCTCAGACGTACGACACTGCACACAGAGGCTATTTGTTCCCCGATGGCCATCTCCTCCCTTACCATTTTATGCTTCTACAGCAGAGATCACCGTGGGCTCTTGCAATTCAAAAAGCCACTCATAATTCATGCTAAAGCCAATGGTTTCCCCAATTAAGAAGCCAAGGAAAAAAAATTGACCCATCTGTTCTGAGGCCAAATTATAGGAAAACCAGGAATGAGAGGTGTGATTGAATCAAAAATCATCACGTGCCTATGAAAGTCGGTCAGTAGCTATTTTACGCAACTGCTATTTAGCTCACATTGTATCTGGTATTTTACTTTATCAGCTTCTGGCATTAACTTTATGCAACGTGTTTACTGGTGAGGAGCACCCAATGACTACACCTCTGCGCTGCAGGTGAGGTGTGCTCGGGTGCTGCTCATAAAGCCCCTTCTCCGTAGCCCCATGGTGGGAGATGGTCCCCATACCAGATCTGCACAGGTCCCTGGGAGAGGTGGCGATGGACAAGCTGGACTGTGGAGGAAGGGGATATCAGCTTGTGGAAACCTCCAGCCATGCCCAAGGGTAGTGGCAACCCCTAGGGCTGCGATTTCAAGGCCACGCAAGTGGAGTTTCAAATGCAGATAAAAATCACACTGGTCTACCAGACATCTGGGACGTGAGAGCTTCTGGAAGTCAGGAGCCAGCGTGTGCCAAGAAACAGCAACCAAAATAAAGCTCTGACTAATCCTTCGCCTTTCTGGCCAACTCCGCAAACCCGTAACGCCATCGCAGAACAGAGCCAGTCAATAACGCTCAGAGAGCAACTCTTAAATCTATCGTGGGCTGATGTGGATTTCGATAGTCTACTCATTAAGTGGTGTCTCTTTTTATGGCCACATTAAATCCGAGTTCTACATCCTGCGCTGGCCACCGACCGCTTTCCAGCTTGATTTAAGAGGTTGGTTTCAACCCATGAAGTTCTTAATGGCCTGGGACCTGCCTAGAGTGGAGACTGCTTCCCAAGACGAGCTCAGGACGGCCGTGCTGCACTGAATCCCTTTGGCTTCAGCTCAGGTCCCTCAGATTGCTTGCTGTACAGGGCCCTGCACCTTGAGACCAACTTCTTCTCCAGGAGTACTACAGTCAGTATTTACCAGTCTCCTGGGAATGACACAAGGCTTACTTTTTCCTCCTTGCACAAGAGAGGCATTGGGTAGGGCTGGGCCATGAAACAGGAGGAAATTGCTGGAGGTGGAGGTGCTGAGTCAGTTGATCTGGTTGGGAAACACAGGCTCTTAATTAGTGTTTCAACAAACACAGAGGAGTGCACCGCAGAAGTGGAAGACAGCAAGGAGCAACTCTGTCTGAGGCATCCACCAGCCCAGTGTCAGTCCCTTTGCAGATCAGTCAGCACCTGAACCCACACTCTTGATTTGTGGCTGAGGACATCCAACATGTCTTGTTTCTGATAGGGCTGAGAGCACTCAGTTCTGTGCAGGTCTAGACCCCCCAGAATTGTTATTTTTGGAGAGGACCAGAATCCTTAGCATCTGCAGAACGTCTTGCTGGTGACCCATCACAGCAAGAGAAGCAAGACAAGGCACATCATTGACACAGCTACTGCTGTCTGGCTTGGTCAGCACAGGCTAAGATGAGCAGAGATAGAAATGGAGCCTTCAGCCCAAGAATGAGAACTGAATCCACCAAAACCAACCTTCAGCCCTAGCTCCAGCACTCTCTTCCTTCGTTGTACCCAGACAGGTGCCGGGCATAGCCCAAAACTAAGATCCTCGAGATTGTCTCAGATGCTGCCTTGTTTGAAAAGTGGCTGCATAAAAGCTAGACAGCAGCAAGTGAAGCCAAATATTGTGGCCCATGGATGTGGTTTGAACCTCTGGCAGCATCACATCCAGGAAAGCAAAGTTTTATTGCATGGGTCTGTCCATTGTGAGGAGCTTTCCCATGGTTTCCATCATCTCCCATAGAGGCATCTATCGTCATGCTGGCAGCCAGAGACAACAGAGTCTCAGGGACAGGAGGAACTGGTAAGTTGGCTGGTCTGAACTCACACAGGTGGAAAAGTCACCAAGAAGCATTTATTCCCATTCAAACCACAACTGGAGAAGGGCAACTTGGCCCATGTATAGCACTGCAGCTCCAACACAACACGCCAGACGTACGTGTTGGTGGAAGTAGGACCAGACTTCAGCTTTGAACACATCTGCTCCCAGGGCTCCAAGACAGCAAGGGCTGCACTACACGACAGCCATTGCAGAAGGAGGGGAAAGAGGAGCCGTAATGGTCAGAAGAGCTGTAGCCACCGTGCCCTGGCAGGATGCAAAGCCTTTGGGAGAAAGTAACAGCAGAAACCCATGTTCAGCTCAATGGTGCGTGCCCAGCTCAGCCCTGGGGCAGCTTGTGACAGCTGTGGAGTCCTCTATTTCCATGGAAGCTTCACAGGCATGTTAGAGACCTGGGCAGCTTCTGCCAGCGCTGTTTGGTGCAAGATAATAACGGCAGAGGTGCAGCTACCACCGCGGTCCATATGGGAAAGGCAAGGGAGATGGTAAAGGGAATCAGGCTGTGGGAAACGGGGAGCTCAGCTGAGCCCTTGGACAAAAGCTGCTGCACCAGTCGGGACAGGACTGGATGGAGACACCACTGAGGGCTGTAGCGGATACTGTAGTGGAAAATAAAGACAGTATGAAAAGCTTGGCAAGCAGTCCCTCCTGCCTTGTTATCCTCCTGCCTTCTGGCAACCTGGAGTTCAAAGACCTCTGGAGCCAGCATCTGCATCCAAATCATCCCATTTCATAGTGACTATGAACTGTCTAATCCTTTCAAACCCGTGGATACTTTTGGCCTTGAGAACACCCCACAGCAGAGAGTCCCAGCACTGCCTTCACCCGTCATTTGAACCTTCTCCCTACATCCCTGCTCGGGAAGGGATGAGGCACCTACTTTCTGAGCATGGAAGAGGAAAGCGAGGATGAGGAGTGCCAGCAGACTCCCGGCATTCCTTATTCCCTGCCGAGCCCAGCCGGCAAAGCACTGGCGGGGCTCAGTGCCGCTCTGCTGACTTCGGCAGAGCTGCCAGCAGCATCGGGGGTCCCAGCGAGAGGAGGGAACTGCTGTGTGAGCACAGCTATGAATTTTCCGCAGGCAGAGAGCAGAGCCCCTAACCCTGAGCTATTAACATGTCAAGAGGGACAGAGGAAAAGCTTTTCCTTTAATGAATATTTCCTCAGTGAAGCCTGCGCCCTTCGTAGGCGAAGTGATAGGCTTAGTCTAAAGATGGATTGGCCTACTTTACCTATTAACCACTTAGACTAATGTAATAAAGGCTCTCTTTATTCAAACAGCCCTAATCCCCAGCCCCACGCAGCTCTCAAGCCTGGAATAAGAAGGGATGCTAAAACAAACTCCGCCAGGCTGCTGCTTGGAGATGCTCGGGGGGGGGGGGGGGGAAGGGGATATTTTTTTTAAGCGCAAACTTCTCCAATGTGAAAACTGGATCCAGAGCGAGATAAATTTACAAAGTGGGGATGACAGGTGGCCACACGGTAATCCAATCCTGAAGCCTAATGCCCTTTGTGGCAGCTTTTTTCTGCGCAGAGGGGCTCCGGGCTAATCTGCTGCCGCTTCTCAAGGAGGAACGGCGAGGGGCCGTGGGACGGGGGGGTCGAGGGGACCTCTGCAACCTGTTGCTGCGTTATTCGCCGCAGGTAGGACAGACTGGCACGCAGGGCAGAGCACAGCAGTCATTACCGATTTTATCCCTGGGGACGTCTGTCGGTCCCCCCACGCACCTCCTGCCATTCCCAAACACCCGCTGGGATAAACCCCTCCGGGGTCTGCCGGAGCCCAAAGCCCCAC